GAAATATTCTCGCTGCCTATAAGGACCCTTGGTATGTTATGGTATTAGCTAATGGCATAGTTGTTGTCCGGGGAGAAAATGTCGTTTGTACTATTTTGTGGCATATGGCTTGGAGAATTTCTTGTTTCGTTTTTCGAATTGTTCCATTTTAAATCGTTATTAATTTTACAAATAAAGTCATTCTTTAAAAAAATTCTGCTTGTCGAGAAAATACGATTACTATACAAAAATATTAGTTCAGATGTACAGGGCATTAATAAATTAAGGAAACATGAAATTGTTTCAAGAGTATCATTATTTATTACATAAAGCAAAATTTGGTAAAAGAAAGTTATTTGTAGAAACGAATCTTAATACAAATTTTCAAAAAAAAATGTTTACAAAATCGGCTATTTTGATTTTTTGTTGAATGCTACAAATAATTGCAGAAATATACTGGGATTATTATAAATGAAAAATATGTATTCAGACTTTATTTTAAACAGCAAACAATTTTCTTTCATAATCATCTATAAAGATCTTTCATGTTTAATTAATTTAATAACACCATGTACATTTGACCTAAGACTGTTATGTACTAATCTTATTTTCAAGACAAGACATTTTTTTATTAAAAGTGACTTTTTGCCTTAAAATTAACATTAACGATTTTTCTCCTCTTGTAATTTCATCCTTGGACACACTGCATTTGGTTTTATTGCTTTTAAAACTCACACTATATCGATTTCTTTAACTATCCCTAGTTCAGTAGCTTACAAATACGTAAGAAAAATTTAATTTTCCGAACTATAAATTACTAATAGTCCAGAATACGGTACATAACTTCAGAAGCGTATTCTGGAGCTAAAATAAAGGTATTTTTGTCATATACACTATGTCTTAAAAATGCTTCGTCATGGAAATACAGGGTGTGAAAGTAAAAAAAAACTTATTTTAATTAAATTTTTGCAGCTTTTAAGAGTTAGCAACGTTGCGTGTTTTACTATAAACACAGTGGCTTTCGTTTAACCAGTGGCCCGCGGACAAGGTAATAGCTGAAAAATATGGAAGGAAAAACGTGTTACGCCGCTGTTCTTTTTCAATTTTTAGTTTTTTGATTGTTCGATTTGGAAGAAAAAAGGTCCCTTGACTTTTTTCATGAATAATTACAAATAACAATCATATAAATAATCACTTATAACAAAGAATCAAAGTAAATGTTGAAAATGGCCACCTTCTGATAAAACACACGATTCCAATCGTCTCCTCATTGATTGTTTTACTCTTTCAAAAACTCCTGGAGTATTTCTTATGATATTACAACCTTCAATTATTTGATTTCTTAAATCATTTTCATTTAATACAGGTGTCTCATACATGAGTGATTTAAGGTGACCCCATAAATAAAAGTCCAAGGGATTAAGATCGGAACTGCGAGGAGGCCAAGCTTGAGAACCTTCGCGTCCAATCTAGCGATTAGCAAAAGTGTTGTCGAGGTATTTGCGAGCAAGAAGGCTAAAATGGGCTGGTGCACCATCGTGCATAAACCATAAATCTCCTCTTACTTGCAGAGGCACTTCTAACAGACAATTTAGTTCTTCGTGTAAAAACTGAGCATACGAATCACCATTCAGTCGAGGGGGTAAAAAGTATGGTCCAATAAGATGGTCATCAATAATCCCTATTCATACGTTTAGTGAAAATGTTTGCTGTTAACGACCCTCTCTTATTGCATGAGGATTCTCCTCAGCCCATTAATGTTCATCATCAAAATTAATAATTGCTTCTCGCGAAAAGGTTGCCTCATCAGTAAATAAAATTTGGGTAAAAAAATTGTAGATATTAGCAACTTTATGGAGTAACCACCTACTAAAATTTAGCCTTGGCTGAAAGTCGCGGAGCAGCAGCGCTTGTTCTCGTTGTATGTGGTATAGGTAAAGCAGAGAAAATTTCAAAACTCTCCAAACAGTATTTGCACTTACTTGAAGCTGTTGTGCAATCTTCCTGGTACTAGTAGAAGGATTTTCTGGTAGTATAGCTTCTTCTAGCTCAGGCGTTGTTACTGTTCATGGTCTACCAGAAACTACCCGATTATGCTCAAAACTACCGGTTTCACTCAATCTGGTATGTATCTTTCTAAATGTTTTGGCACATGGCGTTACTATTCGGATAACGTTGCTGATAACTTCTAGCTTCCGCTGAATTCCCGTTTGCTAATCCATAAATGAAGTGCATTTGAACCATTTCAGCGTTAGTAAAGTTATTCATTTTAATGTCTGACATACAAATAAACAATTGGCGACTAGTAAAATGTTGAACAAGTACCTGGGAACAATTGAAGATAACTTTTTTGTTGTACATTGTTTAAAGAAATTAAAAATAATAAAAATGAATGAAAAAATTTACTGTCTGTTGCTTTTTATTCCAAATCGAACATTAAAAACAGAACAGTGGCGTAACACGTTTTTCCTTCCATATTTTTCAGCGATTAGTTTGATTAAAATAACTTAAGTGGTTTTGGAAATATTTAAAAAAATTTATATTTTTCATGAAACTTTCACACCGTGTATTTCTGTAACGACGCATTTTTGAGTCATAGTGTATATGACAAAAATACCTTTATTTTAGCTCCAGAATACGCTCCTGAAGTTATGTACCGTACTTCCTATCAAACTTTTAAAATTTTATTTAAATTAAAATACACATTTTGTTTTTACCATCCTAATGGAAATCATAGATTAGGAACTTACAAAATTAGATAAGTTTTAGATTTTTAAGATTTTAATATAACTTAGATAGGTAGTATTTTTTAAATCACTATTTAGTAGCGTTAAATGAGCTAAGTGGTTGTCGATATTCAAATAATTAAATACAAAAACATTCTAAAATAAAATAAGCTTGCAAGCTTTAAGCATCTTTGGAAAAAAATGTAATTAAATATCTTGTGGTTGACAAAATTTCTTCGAAATCTATTTCGGAGATATAGATAATATTATTTTGAATTCAAAATAAGTACCTTTATGATAAAAATGTATTTGAAACAAAAACTAATATTAGGAAACAGCTAACAATTGTCCATTATTATGACAAATGTTTGTTTACTAACCAAAACGATTAGGTCTATGTAATATATCTAACAAATGGCACCACTTCAATTAAGTCATTCATGGTGTCAGAATAGCTGCACGAAACAACAAAGTTCTTGGGCGTCTCTTTGACGTAAGACGTGAGTATTGAGAAAGAATATGGATAGTACCTTAATCGTATTTACTACACAGTCGATACTCAAGCCAACAGAGATGTTTTTTAAATGTCAATATGACCAGTTATCACATACTTTGATTACTATACGGGGCAAGAGAGAGGTCCGACACGCCCAACATAGGGCGCGGCCATTTTGAACCCTATGACACAGTTTATAACTAAAGAATCAGATCGCTTACTCTGCGTCGGCACTTTTTATCTCAATGTTCCAGTTTATACACTGCGCAACTCAGATAATACAATATATAACAACCGCCTATAATAAAATAGCAGTCTTCTGCGTATCCTGAATTTGTATCCCTGGAGTGAATGTTATTTTGGAACTTTCAACTGGTCCGAGTGAGCTAACTGATTCTTTAGCAATAAACTGTGACTCCAAAAATAATATTCACTGACACTGACAACAGCAAGCAAAATATCAGGTGCGTTTTAATCATCCGCTTCTGCTTCCGGAATTGTCGGTTCAGTCGTTCTAACCTGTCAGATTAAAACAAGAAAACCGACAATTCCAAAGCAGAAGCGGATGATTAAAACGCACCTATTAAAAATATTGCGCCAAGATGTAGGCAACACGTAATAGGGGTTCAAAATGGCGGAGTTCTCTATCTCCTTTTAAAAGGCACTCAGAAAGCTGCGCAGTGCGATCATTCTCCGTATAGTAAAAGAAAATCAAAGTATGTGCCAGTTATGAATCCATCTACTATTTGGATCCCTATTTCTGTTTAGCTTTATCTGCCACACTTATTTTTGCATAATACTCCTCAATAAAAAGCTAGAATTGACGCAATCTTATTAGACCGTTTTAACACAATCTTCTCAGACCACTCTTCCAGTGATATATCTCTGATCCATGCATTAATGTAACTAATGAAGCATCTTTGCAGTAATCAATTTAATAGCTCAGAACTTGCGACTGGGATTGCCCAATCCCTTTTAGGTAAGCTTATCATTTACTTTCTTCATTTCCCCCAATGACGTTATTTTCAGATATCGAAATTAACTTTGCAATCCAGGAACCTAGCCTGCTGATCCTGGAATACTGCCAGCGCCTGGCCTGCTATCAATATTTTCGCCTGGAAAATCTTGGCCTGCTTCTTCAAGATGAAATATAGTTTATTCTTAATCGGATTCAGTACCATCATCTTTTCTAGACCCCTTTATAAATCAGACGAGCTCTTAATAAATATTAAATGGGTATTTTATGATTTTTATATTAAGCAATCTAACCTCTAGGTGATTGAGAATACTTCTCACCTATCATAATTTCTACCTAATCTCTCTCTGGTGGAATAACTTCTAGCTTCTCGGTCAACTTTTATGTGAAAAGGGATTTGCTATTCGTTGCTGATTTTGCTATTTAGAAATAAAATAGCTATGACAATCTTAGTTTGTATTTTGGAAAACGTGTCTTGTTTGGAGTACTCAGAATTAAAGTAGAGAATAAATGCACTGGTAGAACAGGGCATATTATTTCAAGTCACAACGAGAAATTTTGGATGAAATTTCGGGAAACATAATTTTGGGACATGACTATTAAGAATTAGAGCTCATCAAAATAACCATAACAGTGTTCGAGGAACGGTAATACTTTAACTCCCAGTTAATAGGTAAATTTATTTAAAACAATTTCATAATTAAAAATTGATGTATTTCAAAGACATAGGGATTTGTGATTTGGCTTTATAAAAGCTACATAATCAGAAAAAAAAGACAACCACTTGGTAAAATTAACGATAGTGTTGTTATTTCGCACGCAGCTTTCAGTTGACGTCAGGCATGGACGGCAGCTCTCTTAGTTCGCCATTAGAATCGCCTGAAGTACCGCTCACTACATCAGTGGTCACATTGCAGTCGGCAGAGTCGCTATCGATACGTCGCCAGGTGCGTCTAGACACTACCAAACCCTACACGCAAACCAAAATATTCTTAGACAGAACACAAGAGACCACTGGCGCCAAAACCGATCCCGAAAAATCCCAAATACAACCTCAAATATCCTTAGATAAGACTCCCGATACTCCTAGCGCTAACATTTCGTTTCATTCTTCTTCTGACTTATCTCAGGCTTTTACTTCTCACTTTACTTCTGAAGCTAGCTTGTTGCCTAAGCAGAGCACACTTCCTGAATACGCTTCTTCGCCTTCTGCAATTTTGACACCTAGTACTGAGGTTTATGATGATAATAGTGAAGAAACGGACGAATTTAGATTTGGGGATGAACCCTGGGACGCTAGTCAGTTCAATTACGATATGAGCAGTTTAAATATCGATGGTTTATCACAGAAAAGTTAAAAAAAATAGTGACACGTGGTGTTAATCTTCAAAATGACGAGGTGTAAGAAACGTGAGGTAATAAGAAAGCTTACTTGAATGAAAGTACTAGGGCTAGGTACAATATCAAATAATTGTTATTTTAGCAGGGGTTAAATTGTTATGTTTAATTTTATTTATTCTATATTAAATCAGGATTTATTTCTAAATAGATGAATTCATTGGAAGACATATTGCTGTTGCAAGGTTATTTGCGCCATCTATCAGTTTACATAGCAAGTAATAGATTTTATTTTAAAGGAAACTGTAAATTTTTCATTTTGACAATCTGTCTAAGGTTACGGCATAACAACATAATTTTATTGTTTTTTCCTTGTTTTCTTTTCTCAGTTTTACAAAGAAGCGCGTGTTAGGGCAATTAAGGCTTCGAGCATATATATTTCATGGAGTCCGCATTCAATAGCCTTTTGTATAAAATGTAGGTACTTATGTTTCTTTTAAAAAAGTGGTAGAAACGCCAATGGTTACTTACATGTGAAATGACCTTGACGATGCCTTTTAATATTTTTATTTAAAACTTACACAAACTCTCACCATTGATAAAATTTGTATCACTAAAGAGTAATAAAATATAAAAAATCACTTACAAACTACAAAAATAAGCTAGAAATTAATGAAAATCAAAAATCAAATGACTTCTGACAATTTTAAACGATTTGACATGCCAAGCAAAACGAAACAGGCCAATGGAAATGCTGGACACTATTTTTACTCTTGTACCAAAACAAAGTCCATTTGGACGATGGCTCTAAATGAAACACTGGCACTGGGTAAATAGTAAAATAATGAGCCCATAGAACAATAGAAGAAAACAAGGAAAAAAGAAGAAATTTATGATGACGCCGTAGCCTTTGACAGATTGAGGAAAAGACAAATTTGCAATTTCCTTTGAAATAAAATACTGCTTCTATCACTTGCAAAAACTCTTATAATAATCTTGCGACGGCAATATGTCCTTCAATGAAAACATCTACTGTTTTTCTTCGACAGGCTAGGTTTTTGATTATTTTTTTTATTACAGGAGCTTACGTCTGAATTTGTTTTTGAATTTAGTATCATATAATATCAATACTGCCACACAAACCTAATATGAGTGAAAGAAATCGTTTCGGAATTTAGGGTTGACATTCCTTTGAATGCTAGTCAAGTTGTGATAAGTGTTATAAAGTTAGAAAGCAGTATTGAACTGTTGTATTTTCACAAGTGCCAGAATTGTATACTATTATAAATAATAATTTTAGTTGGATTAAATACAATTCCAAATATTCTTAGAAAATAATATTAATAAAATATCCCTTATCGACTAAATCGTTAATAGATACCCCCAATTAGTCAGTTTTTAAAAATTCTTCTTTAGTTCATTTTCTATGAAACTTTTAAAATAATGCCTTTTTTATTGCAATTCCAGTAAAATAACTGCCAAAATAATATTGTCGGTTCGAGGTAAGACATATGAATATGTGTTGAATAGTTTTGAGAGATGTTTTAGATATTGATGTTATACTTCAGAATAGAAGTTATTGTGATGTTTTTCTGTTGGATAGTACTTACTATTTGAAAATATCTAAGGCTGTTTTATATATTAAGGATCTCATGAACGAAGACTATACGTCAAATGGTTGTGTTAATAATTATCTATGACAGTTTGACACTTTTAATTCATAGTAGGTACATGGATGTTGTTGATTTTTTAGTTATCCCAAAATATACCTACCTCTTCTAAAATAAGTAGTATCCTTTGACCAAATTTCATACTTACTGTCCAGAAAACTAACCTTTTTCCTACTGAGTCCTTCCTTTCAAACCAAGGTTTGTTCAAATACTTAATGATGGAGCAAGTATAAACAAGATCAAGTATAAAGAAAATAAATTAATATAAAATAAATATACTTATAAAGCGTAGGCAGATTTGATAATGATTAACATTCAAATTTTCACTATGATTGCTATATGAATAATTTAGGCATTATCAGCATTTTGCTATTTCTTTATACCTGACGAACTCTAAAGGATAGCGAATTTTATCAATTTCATTGTTGCTACTAAGCCTTTTTAAAGAAGGGTAGTTTGTAGGCTTCAATAAATAAAGCAAGAAAAGAAATAAATATAATTCAAAAACGAGCAAAATTTAGGACCATTTCAATTCAAACTTCGTATGTTTTTGGAATTTGTTTTTTTTATCATCAAGTTACAAGTTCGAAATCTGTAGTTTTAGGTACATATTATTTATAAAAAAAGGCAACATTGCGTAAAAGCATAGATAAGAGGAATATTCCCTTCTAGATAGTAATCTAAGAATGTGTTCTGAATTTGGGACCTACAGGTTTGGTTATGCAAATCGAATTGAGTTACTGGCAATAGTTGATTAATTTCAGTTGCTTTAGATTTAGCAGTGTTGTATGCAAAATGGACCATTTTATTCTTCTGTCCCGTATTTTATGCCTTTTCATTTGACACTCTGATTTTATTTGAATTCCCAATTCTTTTTTAACATCAGTGTTCACTTCACCACAAAAATGTATGTAGATTTTATGACTAATTGTGCACCTTCAGGCCTAATGATGGCTCAAGGCAATAAAGTGGGATCACCTAAGGCTACTTCGTTTACTAAATATATTTTCACAAAGTCTAAAAGGACGATGTAATAAAAAATAGTCATCAAAAGAGAGGAGGTTTGCACCACTGATGAATACACTTCAGTGTAACTCTTGAAAAATTCTCATTTCTCATCATAAAAGTGGTTATACTCAGGGGCGGCTTGTGACCAAAATTTTGGGGGTTCACAGTAGCAGAATATAGATCCCGGTACAGATATAGGTAAAAAACTGTCAGTGTTTTAGAAAGGTATAATATAAACTTTCTAAAACACTGAAAGTTTTTTCATACATCTGTACTGATACCTATATTCTGTCACTGTGAACCCCCCACGGGCCGCCACTGGTTGTACTGGTTGTCTAAATCGTGAAATCACGATAATCCAGTGTATATAGAGGGAGTGGAGTTCTATTGTGACACCTAGAACTATTTGTACCAGGTGTCCACATGCAAACTGAATATATACTAATTATTTCGGGAGATTTTTAAGAAACACTTGAAATTTTAAGTGGTTGTTTAAGATATATGGAGATAATGAACAGTGCATCAGGTCACCTGCCGCCCCTAACCACCCATACAAGATTTTAAATGACACCCAGTATTTTTTTCGATTGAATTTGAAAGATCGCAATTTTCTTATAATCCCTTTGTGACTATTATATCATGATATTTTTAATTAAAAGTTTTAGACATCAGAAGTTATTAACTCCGAAAAATTACGTTAGCCATGGAAATAAAATGTTTTTAAATTAGAATTAAAAAAAAATGTGACTTTTATATTTTATTAATATTAATACTTGCACAATAATTTTTCTCATAGCTTCGGATTTTTTGCTAAAATGACGATTTTATATGGGATTACAAACAAAAATTATTTCCAGACGGCAACGTTATAAAATTAAATCCATCCGAATAGAAAATATAACATTTAAGGTGATTACAGCACCCCTTATAATTTTCACACAAGGATATCTCAAAAAGTAGTTTTCTTAAAAATTAAAAATTTGGCAAAATAAATTATGCAATAATATCTAGAATATGTATATATTTTAAAGTTTTAATTCCTTCCAGTTTCCAAAAAAAAAAAAACAAAAGGCTTTAAATTTTGAAATAACATAATGAAAATAAATGCATTTCTCAACAGCACTATTCTTAATATAATTCCCAAATTTAAGCTCTTAATGTCTTGTTAATGATTTTTTAAAATTCACCAAAATTAGTGGCGGAAACGCCTCGTTAAGTGCTACCTTCTGGTGTAAATCGTTGCAAGTAACGAATGATGACTGAGATTGTACGATACGATACTTACAAAGGCGTTACACCAGAAAGCAACATTTAACGAGGCGTTTTAGCCACTAATTTCGCTGAATTTTAAAAAATCATTAACAAGAGATTAGGAGCTCAAATTTCGGGATTATATTAAGAAAAGCGCTGTTAAGTAATGCATTTATTTTCATTATGATATTTCAAAATTTAAAGCTCTTTAATTTTTTTTCTCTTATACTGAAAGTATTTAATACTTTAAAATATATGCAATTCGCGCAAATTTCGAAACGTCGTCCGGGCGCGCTCTTTCTACAACTAAGAGTACGGAACGCTCTCTCCACCCACTTCCTAACCACTACAGAAGAGAGCAAGCGAAGTAAGTGCGCCTGGCCGACTTTTCCAAAGGACCCCGCAATAATCTTATGGAAATTGGGTTTCTGTCAAATTGTCTGAATTTTTGATAAGTTGTAGATTTTGTCATCCTGAACAAAAGTCTCCATGTGCACATAGTGCCAAAATGAATATTTTGGCAGCTACGGAGCTGCCAAAGCTCCCCTGACCCAGTGCCAAACTATTCATTTTCAATACTATTTACAGATGTCAAAAGCATATTTTAATTATTCTAATATATAGGGTAATGTTTTTAAAGTCACTGGATTCAACTCTCATGTCAGATTGGACAAATAGTCTTCTCAATACACACAACTTACATAAACTTTTTTTTTTAATGTAAACGGTGGACATTTTGAGAATTTAATTTTACTAAAATATCCTAATCCTTTAACTTTAAATATCTCATACATTTCATGATGTAAGTAACTAGTTTTTGTTCTTTCACAAAAGGATATTAAGAAAATTGCGTTCCTTCAAAATAAAAAATACAGGGTGTCATTTAAAATCTTGGAGTGGGGGTGGCTTGGAGCGACGAGAGACCCAATAGGATGCTATATCCTGAACAACCTCCCAAAATTTTTAAGTTTTAATTCCCAAAATGCCAGAATAAATTCAATATTAAGTTTTTGTGTGATCACCTGGTATATTCCTTGCATGCATCTGTTATATTTTCAAGTGGTAAACTGCTTTTCAGAGTAGTCGCTTCA